TAAGTAGGGGAGTGGGGTGCTCTCGTAGATCACTTTCGTCTTGTAGAATGCTTAGAAACATTTAGTAGGCTCGGCAGGAGGTGATGTGATGAGTCAGACTAGGGTGGCTGCGAGGTGTAGCAGTGTTTAATTTTCAAGTGATTTTCAGTCCCAGGTTTGTGGCTCAGTAGCCATGTCACTTTGGATGACACACTCAAGGAAGTGAAACAATTTATCTAATCAATTGAAGCAGTGATGTACCGACCTCCCAGGACTGCTGTGGAGATCCAGTGAGATAACATGTGCACAGCATGCAGCGTGGTCCACAGCACAGAGTCAGTGCTGAGTGAGTGCCAGTGAGTACCTGGTAGGACAGCGTGGGTGGTCGGACTCGGTGACTGAGGAAATTGGGCCCTGAAGGAGGGGTCCTGTCACATCTGTGAGTGATGGGCCTGAGCTGGGAGAGGCAGGGAGACCTTGCCCTCTGACCAGGTGCCCTGGGCAGGATGGCTATGGGAGGAGCACCGTGAAGTCAGCTCTGTGCAGGTGGAGTTGGAGGTGCCCTTGAGACAACTAAGTGCAGTGTCACGAGCTGACCGAGGATGTCTGGGCCTGGGCTGTGCATTTTCCTATAATCTCAATCCCTGAGGATGCTGAGGTATTGATCACTGAACATGAAGACATACTTTACAGAACAAGTGAATAGTAGTATCATCTCTGTCATCAAAGCTCACGTCTCTTTATTCATCACTCACTTTGCTAATTGGGTACTTACAGAGCTCAATTCACCGCCCTCCCCTGGGCTCAGGCACCACAGTAAAGAGCTGATGAGCCTCCCTCTTTTCCAGAAGAAGACACATTTAGCTGGTAGCCTTCTATACCTCTCCAGATTTAGAATTTTAGTTTTTTGATTTAATTCTATTTTCTGTTGGCCATCTCCTGACATTAGACATGATTTACCACATGGTCAGGTTTCAATTAGCTGTTACTCAGAATTGCTGATCTGATCCATAGTGTATGTATTCTATTAACTTTGTAGAGTACTTATCATTTTTCTGTCTTTGCCCTTAAATTTTGTTTGCCCCTTCAAGGTTCTACCCTATATGGGGCCTTATTTATCTTTTTAATTAAAAAATGTCTGTTAGCAGTTAAGAAAACAAAAGCAAAGAAGAAATGCACATGATAGCTAAATTTAGAAAATTTCCAGTGTGTTTTCTGTCTCAGCAATGGAGGGTTCTAGAAACTCATAAAAACCTTCATTACACAAGTTCCATAAAATGCTGATTAAGAAATAATACCTT